CGGAGAACTTCGAGATTAGGGCGTAATTGATTTGTAAACAAACACGTCATTTGCGAATTAAAGCTCAATCTAAAAAAAAACTAACAACACAAACAGGTACAGGAATGATTCCTTTATCATTTGGTATAGTTTGTTTGCGAACTTATTTGCGAGAAATTAACGATTGACGGTTTTTTTTACAAAATCAATTACGCCGAAAACTCAAAGTTCTCCGGATATACAGTCAATGTAAGCTATGCTTGACAGTTCGATTGTTGTTAAACCTTGTTAAAAATAACAGCCGATCTGGTCCTTCGTGTGAACTATGAAGACATCACTGCCATCTTTTACGACACCAATCAATCCAAAAAATCCATCACTGACCGAACCATAACTCTATCGTACTACCATTTACGGTGCTGCTGAGGCGATAAACGATTGCTATGGGTGAGGGTCCTCCATCGTAGCCCCAACGACACTGAGAACAGGTCCTGGTACATAAAAGTCGAAGCCCTCTCGATAATAAAAGCCGTCAACGTGAGAAAAGATGCAAACGAGATTTCCACAAACGTGAAGCAACAAGCATATACCCATTCAATTCTTCGACGTTGAGAGGGCTGGATGACCATTTCGACGACGATGACGACGATGACGACGATGGCAACGGTTATGGCGATATTTCCCTGTCGAGTGTCGAGCCCTAAGGGCATGAAATCTGATTGCATTGAAAGCTGGCCCCATTCAGATCGGCTCGGCTGACTGCCAAGTAGTCGTGTGATATGAAACACGGTCACACGACCAACGAGATCAACCCAAATTTGAGTTTAGTTTACTCGTAATTGCCCAAAGTGCAGGAACTCAGCGACGAGTAAATTTGGAAAATTTGCAAAAGAAATACTCAGCCTAGGAGTAATACCAATAGACTGAAGGAATGCAGTCTTTACTTTTCTCATATTCGGGAATTTTTCCCTGGAAAAACATTTCACGTGTGGCAAATTTACTCATCGCTGAGTTCCTGCAATTTTTACGATTCATGAGTAAACTGAACTCACATTTGGGTTTATCTCATTGGCAGTGCAGCAATCAGTCAAAGCACAGACAAACAGACGCTAGACTTGATTCTGAATTATCGTTCATGCATTTAACGATTGATTTGATTATTATGAATTCCGCGCAGTGCTCAGATTACTTTGACGTTTCTATATATTATGGCTTAGCGAGCTAGCTTGTTTTCCGCGAGAAGCTCCAAAGAAGTCATTGCTGACGTCTTATTTTTTGTGGAATTATGTTTTCAAGAAAAAAAAAATTCAAATTGTTACGTCAGTTTGTCTGTGGTCAATGTATTGCTCTGGAAGCGATCTCGTTAGCATATTTCATAATGCTCTATCAAGCATTCACTATCAATCATTTCCTATTGGAGCAAATTAAACGATCTTTTTTTTTTCTTGATGGTGTGTTTTGTAAAAATGTACCATGTGGGATAGCGCACTTCAATCTTGCAAAGGATGATGCCCTCTGAAGCGTTTTGAAAATTGTTCTTCATTTAGAGGAGCTTACGTTTCACTTAAAAAAAAACTACTCCTCGGATAGGATGTGGTGGTTGGAAAGTTTAAATTGAAGTGCAAACTCACATACAAACTCATACGAACCAGAGCTGGGACGTACTTCTAAAACAATCTCCAACCATTGGCGATGGGATGTGATCCACTTAGGAAAGATAGCGTTCATATGTATCATCGCAAACGAAATGGCTTTTATATGTTATCAATTAATGTTGCCCTCTTCTTCTGCCGTTTTGGCTTGTTCCGCTTGTTTTGATTGCCCTTGAATGGAAAGCCAACTGCTATGCTAGCGCCACGAGCAAGAGTTTGTGTGGAAGGATCAAACCAAATAACGAGTGTTATATCGTCGCTCGAAAAAATTAAAGATTAATTTTCTGGTCTTATGACTTTAATTGGTCAGTTGAAAAGCACAAGCTTAAGGTGGAAGTGCCCTTTTTTCTCTGTTCCGGACCACTGCGACCAGTAATTTGATCTATTGTAGTATATCCCGTGTCCTTAGTTTAGTGCATGCATTATTACTCCATCACTATTGAGAAATGATGAAGTATTCGATTTTTTTTACAGTTGTCATTTTTGCATTTATCGCAAGGATCCGACTTTAATTGAAAGGTCCCGCTATTTATACCCTTCGGAGTGTTGAAACACCCTCCAAAGGCGCGCCCCTTTGTCAGTCAAAATTGGATTCCTTGGCAACAAAATTAAGGAATGACACCGATAATGACCATACATCAGAACCCTAGTCTTAACCACTTCAAACTAGGGAACAACGAATAGAAGATTAGGAATCACATAGATGAAGACAACTAACTCATTTTTCCTTGTTTCAAGATCATCCTCGGTGGACAAAGCCGAGTCTTGTCACTATCAACGAGGCATAAAAAGTAACAAAGACTAAGATGTGTTCCTTTGATTACTGAAAAATCCTGTTCCCCTAGTTTGAAGTAGTCAGGACTAGGAATCGGTGGTAGATCTTCCCGTAACGTACCACGAAAAGGAGATCTACCCACGTTACGGGGCTGTCCTAGTGAGTAAATAAAAAAATCAATGCTTTTCTCTGAGACATCGCTTCAGACTGCAAGACGACAAAAGCTTTTTCCAATATGATATAGGGTAGAGAACCACTTCGACCTAATCGCCCATTTTGGGCTTATCGAGCAGAAAACTTCAAATAAATCCAAAAGTTAACAAGTCAATTATTCGTTTGGTAAGATACTTTAGTTAATAAGCTAAGGAACGAGGTCAATGAGAACGCGTGATATGAAGGTTTGCACCCATTATTTCCAAAAACAAAAGAAGCGCTCCGACCGAATCAATTTTTATCTTCATCCGATAGGCCGAAGTGAATTCATTGGCGTTTCAATGGTGTTTAAATGCGTTAGGCCGAGTTTAGAATTCGTAGGCCGAGTTTGGCGTCAAGAATCAGCGTTAGACTTTTGAAAATATCTCAACGATTGGTTTCTCTTCATCAAATCTTATGGTACATACGGAAAGGTAAATAAATTTGGAAGCCATCAGTGATAAAAACATTCCGTTTGGTGCTACACTGCACTAGATTAAGAAAGACTTAAGTGCGGGTTGTGCTTAATAGGCCGTAAATGGGGTTGTTAATCCTACCTCGGAGAAAACCAAGGTTGCTGACAAATGATAATGGTTACGAATGCCATTGAATTTCTCTCAGTGTTGATTGATTTGGTTGTTTTTATCTGCTGCGTCTTATTCCTCACACACTCAACCGCTGGTAGGATGAACACTTCGTCGATCATTGAGTTACCTGTCTGTTTTCTCCTGATAAATAGCATATTCAAGCTCTCAATTCTTTTTTTTTAGCATGAACAATGTTCATCCATATGATAAAAAGTTGCATGAAAATATCCTGCCGATTTTCAGCATGAGTTTTGATCAGCACTCTCGGCGATATTCTCATATATAATAAGATACAGTGACTTACTTGCGATTATGGGTATGCTGTGGAGCGCATATTTTTTAACTTGAGCAATGAGAAATAACAGGTCTTACAGAGTCGACAGTTTTAGTTGAGTTAGCAGGGGTCTTTTCATGAAAATTTAATCACAGTGTTTGGTATACAAAATGCTGAAAATTAATTGAATTTTTCTAAATTCCACTATTGTTTGTTTAGATGAAAATCGAAGCGCTTCACAAGTACTAGCCAAGTATGATTCTATGTTTTGGCAAGTGTTGTTACAACTGTTTAATCGGGCAACCAGAAAGTGACTTCCGAGTTGGCTGGGAAAAAATCTATCAGGGAAAAACGGGAAAAATTATTCTTCATCAAAAAAAAAACATCATAGCAACCTAGAAGCGGTGTTGTCAAATTGGAAGACAAATTTGTGAAGTCAGAACTGAAAAATATCAAGCCACATCTAATTTTCATGTTGCAATTGAAATTAAAAAGTGCCGATTGAATTTATCCCATTTATCCGGAAAATAGCTATGCTTTTCTCCCGTGCTCTTCTGATGGGACGATTACTATTACATGCGGCCAGGTTCCCGGCTACCACAGCGGCCGTTCAAAACCAGATCGTCCGCCATGGACACGATGTTTTCACCATTGAACCGAAGCCGGAGATGCTAGCCCACGTCGGTGCTCACGTCGCCGGTGGACTGATATGGTTATGAGTGCTGTGGCATCTGTTCCACAAATACGAGCACTTTACGGGAAAGTTTTCTTACCCAGATCCAGTGCAATGAGCTAACGCCGAGCTTCAAATTCTCTCAACTGAAAAATAGAGCACAGATAAGCGTGAATAGCTGTCACCAATCGTTAAAATACCGTTCCAAGGCATTAAAAGCAATATATACACACATATTAAACATGATTTATGTTTAGAATATTACAGTATCATACCATTTTAGGTTGAATGAAGCCAAAAAACTAACATCATCCTGTTTAGCATTGAAGAAGACCTCAGTTTAAATTACTGCAATATTTGCTCTAAGGTATGTTTGTATTTTCTGTATTTTTCTATTAATCTCTATGGCTTAATGATTATTCCACATACAATTTTACACAATTGTTATGATATTTATGCCGTGACTTAATAAGTTCCTGTAGAGAATGCCGGTAAAGACGGACACGGCAGGAAAAATGGGCACTTGTGGTTTTAAATTAAAAAAATATTTTTGGAATAAATTTAACACCGCGTACTTTTAACTTGAACTAATTTAAAAGCACTTCATTAGTTTATTTTAAAAATATGCAGAAAATGTGCATTTTTACCAACTTTCCCTATCACATTCATCAATGCATATCTCAAAATCTAATACCTACTTTTTTAACTAATGTTAGGGCAATACAACAGATCATTGGAAGAGAGCCAACCTATTTTTACTCCTGCATCTATTTTCGGCGCCATCTTCAGTGGACTAAAAATTCTTCGCGCTAATGGCAAAGTTCCTCTGCCGAAGAGCATTACCACAATGATGTTTGGTTAGCTAAGATCAGTTTTAAGCTGATAATTCTTAGATATGGATACAAATAGTTTAGTATCTTCTCCATAACTGTTGTGTTGGCACTATAAAAGGGAAACCAAAAGCTTCAAGTTGGACCTCTGTGCCATTTTCCAAGGTTTTCATTTCATTTTTTTTTTGTGTACTAGTGAGGATGAAGTTAAAAAAGCATTAATTGTTGTTTATTTATTTATTAAAGTTTAATTCAAAAGTAGTTGAAAAACATGGTTTTTCGCATATTTAATTCATTTTACATTTCGTAGAGTCTAAAAGCATACGGAGGATTGAAACATTCATTTTGGAATTGATTTTGAATTGAACAAGTATGGTTTACATGTCACCAACTTCGATTATTGCATCAACAACCTTCGGAAGCAAATCTTGATTCATTCTTAACAGCATAAGATCCTTTACGGAAGTGTCACTCAAGCGCATTCTTGAATCTGTTAATATAAACTTCAGCTGGCTGAAAAGTCTTTCTACAGTAACTTGTGTAGAAGGCACAGCTAGAACAATTTTAGCCAGGCGAAAAAGTCTTGGACTTATTAGTTTCTTTTTCTTCCAATAGTCAACAATGTCAAAAGAAATCGAACTGAACGAAGTAGGAGACATCTTATCTTTTGAAGTACCTGGTTGCGCTTGGAACGTTGTTGAGTTTTGTTTAGAATCGATTGGATGAGTTGTAGTGATGTTGACTTTCGGTCTAGATTCTAGTTTTACGAGTTCTCCTAGCAAACTGTCAGAAGCCTCTCGACCAGGCGCAGCAATATCTTTATCCTCTTCAAAAAGCCCAGCAAGAAAGTCTTCAACAATGTCGTTTTGAATTTGAGTTTGATCTTGTCCTTCCGTAGCCTGAGTATCAGCTCCAGATATCTCGTCCAACCGTTTATTCAAAGCAATAAGGTATTTCTGAAACAAATTGACGTTGAAAAATATACATTATTTAGTGGGATATTTTCATTTACCTGCACGGAAGCTTTATCGTCATTGGACAGCCGTCTGGATCCAATGTAATTGAATCGAGGGTCCAAGTATAAACATGCCTTGAAAGCCATGTTCGTATTCAACTTTTCCAATCTCAATCCCATTGCTTTGAAAAGCTTCAACGCAAGTGTATTATCCTTAGCCGCATTCAGTTTAGCCATACACGTCAGCCAATCTACATAAAACTGTGAGAGAGGCACGTGGTCTTTCTGCAACTTCATAGTCAGAACGAACATTGGTTCAAAGGCCACACAAAATTTATCAACAAAGTGCCAGTGCCGTGATAGGTCTAAAAGTACATGTATTAGTATTTTAAGATGGTACATAACACTTCAAAATCTAACTTTTTTTTTATAAACTTACCTAGTGAAGAATCCTGGCTTTGTAATACGCTCAAGAAAGGACCATCCTTCAGTGATCGAAGATACCTTAGCAGGATGTACCAGACATTCCAACGAGTTTCGTTGACCTTTGGAGGAAGTGGAACTTTGTGGAGCCGGAAAAACTGCTGAAACTGTTTGTGCCGCATCCTTATACACGATTTGTTTATTGCGTTTAATCTCCGCTTGTATGGCTTAATAACATCCCATACTGCCAATTGTGCGGTATGGGCGCCACATCTGATGCTCTCAAGAAGATCAACATCAATATCGTCCGGCTCATCTTGCAAATCGAACTCAGCATCCCCTTGTCCGTTGCTAAAATCGTCAGAAATGGGTTCATCCGCTTCACCTGAATCTTCGACCAGTTCTTCCTTGTCACTATCTTCGGCTTCAGAAGCACTGCCATCATCAATGTAATGCTGCAAGCTATCATCTTTCCGAAAGACAGTGGACAGAGGTACATCTTCACTTTCTTCGCAAAACTTTAGGAGAGCTCTGAGGCACCTTACAGCAGCCAACATGTTTGCCCCATTATCGTGGGTAACAGTTAGCAGTTGTTCAAGGCTAACAGCGATTAGTTGCAGTTCTTCTTCTAGAACCTTTCGTAAGTTCTCCTTTGTTTGACGTTCGATCATCTCTCGAACAGCTGAAAAAGCATGACCAAAAAAAATTTCATAATTTGTTATCTTTTCGCAATAAGAAAACATAAAAATTCCTAATAAATATCGATTTTTCAGATGTTCACTTACCAAGATGCCTAATACACACGTTCCCATTTTCATCTATGTACTGAAGGTTGATTCCAAAAACCGACCGGCCTTTACGGGAGGCAGAGTCGATCTTCAAACAAATTATCCTCTGTTTCAACTCCTTCTGGATTATTGATCGCATAATTTGAGCCGCTGTTGTAATCAACTTGGCGAGCTTATCGCGAGTAAAGTTGAATCCAGCTGCCTTCCACAAGGGCAAGATAAGAGTTTTTACTCCTTCCCATTCTGGAAACCGAAGAGGCATATTGTGGCCAGTTGCCAGTTGCAAAGTCCCCAGCAGCACTTCGTTCCGTGAAGTGTCCACAGATAATTTGGAGCTGCGTGGTTTTTTGGCCGGAGGTTCGTCTAATGAAAATCCGAGTTCTCTCGCAATATCCGGATGGCTACTTATCAGATGGCGCTTAAAGTTGCCAGGAACAAACGTTACCTGTGCGTAGCTGCATGGTTGTTCTTCGTCTGAACTCGCACGGCATTGGAATCGTTGAGTTTTCCCATCGGATCCAATTATCTGCTCAACCACATTCAGGACAATATCCTTTTGCAGGGTTCGTTTTGCACTCATGGTGACAAATTATCACTCAAAATATTGATATTAAAACTCGCGATTCTGGTTTTCGATTTTATCACGCGCTTTGTTTTCGACACTCTGAGAATGAATATTTGAGCATTTGACAGACAGATGAACTGGATCGAGAGTGAGAGCATTTTGCTGCTCAAGCAACTCAGTGTGAGTGGTGAGAACTCACTTAACCTAAAGATTTGACATCTATGTTCATTGCCCCATCGGTCAAATATGCCATGGTGAGTACGGCAATCCTTATCGTCAAAGAAAGCAAAATGAGAAATCAATGATGCGAATATTTGCAACCTTGGAGAAAACCATTTTTGACATTTTTATTTACTTGCAAGGACACTTTCACCTTAAGGACCAACCTCGATGAAATAATGAAATTTGTGTTCCAGTATGAAAATCCTACATTTTTTTCAACTGTAGAGACTATAACGTTCTGGAATTTTGTATAAATTTGTACATAATTTAATAGGCTTAAATTGTTTTGAATTAAATTCCTTCGTGTAGTGTACCAAGCGTAAGTGCACTCAAAAAATAAATCACATTTCCAGTGGAAAGTATCCATTAGAATTTCACATAACTTTCATGTGATCTCATTATTGGGAATCGCACCACAAAATCACATGAAAATTATGTGTCAAATAAAGTGTATGTGATTTATCACATACAATTCATGTGATCGTATGAACGTTATGTGAATTTCAGATAAAAATCATTAATTTTTATATTGAAAAAATATCATATGCATTCGCCCCAATGGAAATTATATGAAAACTTTTTTCAGTGTGTTGCGTCCAAGATTGATGAGTTTTTTTTTTCTTTTGGTTTGTTCGACGGTCGATCTTGTTTTCCGTACTGAAGCTGTGTTCCATTTGGTAAATATTCACTTAAATTTGACACTTGTAACCAGTGGTGTGTCTATCTGTCTAAGATTGTTGAGATTGTCGCGAATTTAGTGTTTCGATTTAAATGTTATGAATGCCAAGAAAGGATTCAAATATTAGTGCCAACACCGCCCACCACCCACTGGACAGCACGCAACCCCTCCACGAAGTTCCACTATTCACAGCCAGATGCCGCTGACAGCAGGATTGGGAGGCGGAGGTGGTGTAAAAGGGGCCATGATGGGGCGAAATTGGGCTGAAGGAAAATGGATCAACGATCGAGAGCGCAAGAAAATCACCCGCCATCGTTGCTAGCGAATTGCCTGGCAAAAGTCAAAAGTGGTAGTCGAAAACCAAGCTAGACAAACTCAAATCGAATGTGATATAGGGGAAATGACGGCTTCGGCATGCCAGACTATTTTCGGCAACCCAAATTGAAACACTATTTTCACTGGATTTTCTTACGAAAACACTTCGCTGGATGCATGCAAACGATTCTTTATGCTTTCAGCTTCAATTTGAATATATTTTTACCACTGAGAAAAAGCAATCTAGCAAGGTTTTCTTGAAATGAAACACACGCACTACAAATTGTAGCTGATTTCGAGTTGCCGATAATAGAACAGCAGATTTACATGCAGTTCAAATGGAACGGTTGCCGAAAAAAAACTGGTTGCCGACAATACTGGCTCTCACTAGAGAAGATTGGAGCTTTGTAAAAGCGTTTCAAAACAGTTTTTGACGATTCTTTCGACTGAAATTGTTAGAGCAGCTGGCAGATTGTAAACAAACCAATACTGCATATGTGTGCGTTCCTCAGAGAAAAAGGCTATAGAAAGAAGGTCGCTGCTTAGGTTGCCGAGAATACGTAAATTCCCCTACATCATAGTGAAAGATTGTTATTCGAGTTAAAGTTATTAGTCTGCACGAGTCTTGAGGCGCGAAGCTCGATCAGTAGTGGAGGAGGAGCCAACCTACTGAAATATCCAGGACCCCGTAGTTTACCGTTTACCGTTATCATTATCTACGGCGCGAACCAGCCGCGTTTACTAGTCCGTGTTCATCGCCATTGTGGATCGGCCTTGGGCGTCGTGGACACGTTACACCGTTCGCGAACGGCTCGGCAAACGGTACCGTGGGAGCACCCGTAGGAGAAGAGGAGAGTGAAGGGTTAAGAGGTGAATCGACTGGGCAACCCACAGTCGAAACCGAGGGACGAAGAACAGAAGCAAAGGAAAGGCGAAAGTGAAGGTGAAGGTGTAGCGGAACGGAGGAGAAGGGGGCCCCCATCGACAACGGAAGACGAAGGAAGAACTACTGAAGGCTAAGGTAGGAGATAACCGATAAGAAAGTGGGAAAGTTAGGGAAATAAACGAGACCTGTGTGTGAGAGTTCATCGGGGTGTGTTAAGAGTATTTGAGTGTTTCCTTGGCCGCGATAGTCACACGTGTATGCCGACCATGAGGCAGTATAGAGGGGGGTCTCATTAATGCTGGGCAGGGAGTACCCCAACTGTTACACACTTCAAAATAAATTAAGATGTTCGAAAATCCTTCTGTTGTGGATCGGTCGATTTTCGAGAAGCTGTTTGTCAAAATTGATTCCTTGTCGGTCAGTAATAAGTCTGCTGGAATAGCAGGTTTATTGAAAAATTTTCCATCTGTCAAATTTAAGTGAAAATTCACCAAATGGAACACAGTATGATTACCAATAATACCAACCCCAGGGAGGCAGCTCCCACACCTGGATCGTACCTATCGACCCATCAACTCATGGACCGGGGACCAACGGCTTTACTTCTCTTCCGAAGGAAGGCATGATCAGAGATGTTATGCCTCAGAAAATCTCGGCGGCGCCTACTCGGATTGAGCCCAAGCCTTTTGGGGTGAGAGGCAATCACGCTTATCACTACACCACCGGCGCCGATTGCATTGATGAGATTAATCACTTCCCTATAAAATGTATGGCTATAGGGGTGGCGTAATGGGGGCCATTGCGTGCAGAGTTCGTGGCACGTACAATGCACAGTGGTCCAGAATGCAGATTTAGGTGGAATGATATGTTTTGAGCCTGAAATTGAAACTTTAAACTAAAAGTCTCTTGTACAAAGTTGTTGCTTATAGTTAGGCGCTCATTTTTACGACAATGAATTCTAGGGTGGTTCCTATTATTATTAAAATCAAAAATCTAACTTTTTGGTTTGAATAAACTAAGGTATACATTCTTCGGAAAAGTTATAGCTGAGCTAATTTCAAGCAACTTTGTTGAAATTACTCTTTTGTATCTCTTAAATTGGCCGATTTAGAGCTATTTTCTTGAATTGAGTTAGGGTGGCTTTAAAAAAAGAGTTGTTTTGCTCTAGTTATCTTATTTCGAATTTCTCAGCAAAGGTGTTTTTAAATAACTTTTAGATCATAAGAAGGCGCAAATTTTTGCTGCACAAAGCTTGTCAATATCTTTCGCCGATCAAGAGTTATTGACGTTTTTATACTAAAAATATGCACTTTTCAAATGTTAATATCTCTGGTTGGGGCAAACAAAAAAAAAAGAGTTTTCTACGGCCTTTGAAAGAGAATTTGTTATTTTTTAAACTCGCATAAAATCAATTTGAATTTAATCATATTTTTTACTGTATTTGGGTATGTTTTTTTTATAAGAAGAGATACAGGCAACAAATTAAGCTTAAAAACATTCGTCTTAAAGATTTTTAAAAGTCTATAGAAAATTACTTTCATGATAAATTTCAAATAAAAAAGTTAGTGCTAATTTTTTTTTATTTTAATGATAATAGGAACCACCCTAGAATTCATTGTCATAAAAATGAGGGCCTAACTATAAGCAACAACTTTGTACAAGATAATTTTAGTCTAAAGTTTCAATTTCAGGCTCAAAACATATCATTCCATCTAAATCTGCATTCTGGACCACTGTGCAATGGTTCAACGGCCACGGTGAGGGGTCATCGTTCACCAAGAGGCACCGTCGCTAGAAGCTATACTTAAACTTTCAAGTGAAAAGCAGAGATTTCTATTCAACTGATAGGAGAAACGGCTCTAATGTTGGCCTATGGATCTAAGATTGGGCCCATCGCTAAAAATCTGCTATTTATCAATTGTATCTAGATGAACGCGTCATTGGGACGGTACTAATGGATATTTTTGGTTGCTATTGAATATTTAGTCGATTGCTGAATGGAGCCCAAATTAGCGACATTAAGGCCGACATTACATACATTTCCCCTAGTAAAGCGAAGTACGGAGTGGAATTAAACAGAGAGGAAGAGTAGAGGAAGTTGACACGTACCGTTGAACATACAGGTAATTACAGTCACCAAAAAAAAATCCCGAACCAGACCCGACCGTCGCCTACTGAGAACCGATTGTGTGCCTAACTAGCCGCCATTTTGTATTCTCCATCGCGCCCACAGAACCTCGCGGTTTCACCGTAAAGCTTACGGTATGCCGTTCATCGTTCGTAGAATCGACCATGCCAAACGTCGGTAGTGTGACTGAATCAACGATCGTTAACCTGTTTCCCGATAGTTAACCGTGAGCGCCACGACTGTTCCACGGGACCGTTGTGCTGTTGGCATTCCAATTCCTCAGAACGAAGCCGCCATTGCGATAAACTAAGCGCACTTCTGCAGCAATCTACTTGGCTTCCTCTTCATCCCAGAAGCTGTTGAGATAGTCGTCGACGTAGTGGTTGTCTACTATCCGTTGAGCTGCACGACGATACTGCTGCGAGTGCTCCTTGTCGTATAAGTCCTATACGAACTGCGCTGAGGCCGGTGAGTAGGCTGCTCCAAACGTAGCTACGTAGCTTAACGTAGACTACGGGGCAGTGTGGGATCGAAACGAAATAGAAATCGTAACGACTGCTTATAGCTTGCCATCATCAAAATTTGATGGAACATCTCTTGGATGTCTGCGGTGACTGCAATTTGGAACTGTCGGAAGCAGAATATAACGGCAGGAAGAGCGGTTATATAGTCTGGTCCCTCCAGTAGATGGTTGTTCAACCTTGGCAACTGCGTCCCAGATAATGAGCACCTTTTCTGGCTTCCTCGGGTTCGTGACTGCTCCCAGCGGAAGATACGACACTCTTCTTGGATCCGCGCTGTCGAGCTCTACGTCCATCGCTACGACGTCGCGTAGCCTTTCGTCACGTAATTCCGAAATTGCTGTTGAACTTTCTGCTTCAAAATCGAATCTCGCTTCATACGACGTTCCAAACATTTCATTCGGCTCAGCGCCATAGGATAGCTTTCCGGTAGCTCGACGTAATCCTTCCGCCGCAACAGTCCGGTTTCGTATCGGTCTTCAACTCGCATGGTCGTTTGTTTATTTATTTATTTATTTATTTATTTATTTATTTATTTATTTATTTATTTATTTATTTATTTATTTATTTATTTATTTAT